AGACGATAACACTACGCTCCAACAGCAGATCGTCAATTCCAACCCCGTTCACCTTATCCACGAAAGACATCATCGAAACCGCTCGAAATTCTCCGCGCGAACCGCGTCCCGTCGATTCGAGGTTGAACCAGCGATCGAGCACCGATTCACCGAACGATCCGTCGCCCTCAGGAATTTATCCCGCGAGGAGCGTTCGACGCGGCGTCGAGTCTTTCCGCGGATCGAAGATCCGAGACGCGCGGAGTAGCGTAAAACCCGATACCCGCGGCGAGATATCGATGTCCGTCCGCCTCGCGGCGCGCCGTCTTTTCCTCGAGTTTTCTGTCCGCGCTCTCCCGCATTCATAAAACTCTCGGCCCTCGGTGGACCGGCCTCGAGAGTTTCTACGATCGTCATTACGCCTCCAAGGCGCTCGCTCGTCGGCCCTGGACCGACGTCGCGCGCGTCCACCTCTACACGGCCGATCGTCTAGCGCGAACGAGCGAGACGAATCGACAGCCGGCTAGAGATAGACGCGGCTAGCGCTCTCCTCTCTCTCTCGGTCGCGCGTGTACACACGCTCGAATCTCTAGCCAAGTACGTCCAATTATCGTAGCCGGCGAACGAGCCCCAAGGTTCCGCGTCCACGAATCTCTCGGCCGCTCTCGGCGCGGTCGCGCCATTTTTCGGAACGCGCTCTCGAATCTGCCGAAAACGAGGCTCCACGTGGAAACTGACTATCTTGTTCGATTTAATCGGTTAACTGTGTTCGACGAGCATACTCGTCATGGAGACGTTGCAGGATTTTGTGTCACGACGAGTATACTGTCGTGTATTTCAAAGAATCTTCGTCAAAGGGTTAAATTGTAATTTCTGTGGAAAGCCAATCACTAGTTTTTACCGCGAGTATACTCGTGACACAAAATCCTGCAACTTCTCCATGACGTCACAGTCAACTGGTTAACCCCTTCTGCCATGGTCCCGATACAAGACACACTAAATAGTGTATCTAAATTCGGTAAATCCGATTGTAAACCTTGTCCTCAGATTACAACCATAGATTCCGTAGATTCTATTCAAACGTCCTCTCTTATCGAATTGTGTTATCACGAAATGAAACTAAAGACGCGCATTCGACTCGACTCGGGAGAAAGTAATTCTCGACCGAAAGGGTTAATAACTCTGCTCTCATGGCCTGCGAAGTCGTAGTCGTCGAAGGCTTCCGTCGTTATTGCAGCTTTCCGCTGCGCCGCCGCATCCGTGGACGGTCTCCGCGAAGTATCCACGTTGACGTTCCGGATAGCTGATCGCCGAATTAATTGCTCGGCCGTCCAGTTTGTTGTAAAGTAACTCTGAGAACCTCCGGCCCCTTCGAACGTTCTCTAGCACGATCCTTTCGCGATCGCCGCCGAATAATCCCGGGAAACGCTGAACCTGTTAATCGGCCACCGCACGATATTCCTAATATCCCGCGAACGTTGGCGGCTCCCTCGTTAGCGTCCCCCGGCGTCGTCGAAATTTATCTCGGGAGTCCGCGCGATGCGGAGGAATTCCAGCGAGAAGCAACGGGCGGAAGCCTAATCGTCGTCCGTTCTGCACCGCGATTCCGCCGATAGCCATCTTCCGCGGAGATATGCGGCCGTTCCGAGGCGTCCGCGCTTTTACGACGTCCGAATCGAAACGCTTCGGCGTTAACCTCTTACGCCGCTGCCGCGGCCGGCGAGGATGTCAGCTTTCCCAGCGACGCTCCGGTATCGATGACTGTGTTGTCCATTTGAGAACGCTTCCTCACCTGCGAAAGTCTACGTTTCTGGAGAAACAAATTTTTCATCGATTGTGCTTCTTAGTATTTTTGATCATTCTTTAGTGTCCTTTTTCATAAGTTAAATAGCACCGAATTTTTTTAGTTTTCTGTTTCTTTCCTCCCGATTTTCGCTTTCTAACATCTTTCTGACATCTGAAGACACTTGAAAAATTCAGTTTCGGTGTACTATTGGCATTATTAGACGTCCCTAAAATATTCTTCAGAATAACTGCGCAAAGCTCGCTTGGACCCGACGCAAATGAACGCTGATTCGGCAACTACATCTTCCGACAGTCGTATACTATACAGATACCATTACTCCAGATTACTTTGATTCGGTTCAGTTCAGTGTTCCGACGGTTCCGATACACTTCCTCGGAAACACGCGTCGACTAATACTTACTATATTTATTTGTAGCATCACAATTGTACCATTCAAAGGTAACGCTTCAATGACGAGCGCAAAGGGTTAACATTACATACAACACTTTGTAATTTTCTTACATCGAATCGAACGGCGACCGAGGGTCACCTCTCGAGTGCAAGGGGTTAACTCGCGAAAACCGTCGAACCGGCGGAGTCGCCGGAGGTCCAGGTAAGAGCCGCGGCCCAGAAACTCCGCTCGATGATCGATCATCCCGATTCCATAAACACCGGCAGCGTCTTGTTCCGGCGACTCGAGAGGAGCCGCTAGAGAAAGAGATTCCCGCGTTTCTCCGGGGGCCCCGGCTAAGGTTATGGCTTGCTCTAGGAGTGCATTAACCCCCGTCAGCTCGAGAGCACACCGTAGAAGAAGTGCACAAGTGGCGGGGCCGCGAGGGGGACGGAGGAGGGCACACAGAGAAGAAACCTCTCGCCTCTCTCTCTCTCTCCTCGCCCCTCCCGCGTCCCCCGCGTCGTTGTCGCCGGTCTCTGTCGTGTTCGCGAGGCGCGCGGAACAGCCCAGCCCGAACGGGCAGCCCTGCGAGTCGTGCGAGCCTCGCTCGCGCTGGGATCGCGGAGTCAGGGTTAGGCCTGGGAAGGTGTTGGATGACCGAAGATCTCGTCGGCGACGAGCCGCGCGCGTGATTCACCGTTTTCGATTCGCGAGGATCCGCAGCCATCGTCCGCTTATCGCTCGACGGGCAACGACTAATTGGTCAGCTTCGATCTTCCCCTACCTGGCTTTCGACGGTAATTTGTTATTCGCCGATACGAGACCCCGCTCGCTTGCTTTCCGAGCGGTAGATAAACAATTCCGGAAAGTCGGCGAAAGTTGGCGCTTCTATATCCAGCGTTGAGTCAACCCCTTCTCTTATGATAATCGCACTCGATGAAGGTTTTCGGACGGAGCGAGGTTCTTGCTCGTCTGTTGTCCGGTTTTCTTCAACCTTCGCTTTGTAGGGCTACTAAAGTAACTACAATCACTCGTGGTATCATAGTCATATATCTATTGCCAGAAGGAAATTAGGAAACGGAGATTTTCTGTGAGCTAGACACTGGTTGAAGCAAGTGCTCTGTATTTTGGAATAGCCGAGTGTTTCAATTTTTACTGCAATCACTCGCGAGATCATAGTTACATATTTATTGTAGGGCTACTAAAATGAAAAGGTCATGGTGATCCCCTTGGTTATAAACTTGTCAATGGGCCTTATCTCTCAGGCCCCCAAGTATCGACAAGCAAAAGGGCGAACCGACATCTTTTTCTAGTAAATTATCCGCAGTAGGTTCACGAACGTTACTCGGTAAGAGTTCGAGTCGAGTCTGACTCGCGATCGTGCGCACTGCGATAGCCTGAAGCTATTTTCGCGATTTAGACGAACGTAGTGTAGGAACAATGGAGTAAGCACTCGTGAATTGAGTGAGAGTTTCGAAGGAAATCATAGAAAAATCTCATCGAATCTCCCGTGATGGTTAACACGTTATGCGCCGTGTCAGTCACTGGTGACCGACGCTTCTGAATGACTAAAAAACAATCGTAACACACAAGACAACCGATGTGAAATAAAAATGTTTAATAAGGCAACTAAGTTGATAATAGTGTAACGCAAACTACCTATCTACTTTTCTTTGCTACAAAAGACAAGCTCTATGGGAAAACGCTTAAGATTTTCGTGACGCTTAACGTGTTAATATCCTCGAAGGAGCCGCGACGGATCTTGACCTCTCGGTCGGAGGGTATTTCTCGGGGGTCGAACGGGACTCGAGCTGGAGGAAGGTGGTTTCGCGGCGCGGCGTCGGAGGAGGAAGGAGACCGGTCAGCCGCGGCGAACGCGCGACGGGCCTCAAACTTTCTCCGGAGAGCGAAAGTGAGAGGCCCTCTCTGTCCGTGCACCTCCGCGCTGCTCGGCGGTGTGTCTAGGGGCGCGGGGGCAGGGCCGGAGCACTTGCTTTCACCGTGGCCCGCGCTACGTCGATGCACTTTTCCGCGGCGTAGAAACGAGATGCGGCCCCCATCGACGCGCCGCCTCGTATCGTGACCGTTCCCGATCGGCGGAAGAAAAATCGCGAGCCGATGCACGGCACGACGCGCCGTTAACCCTTTCGACGATGAATACCCGGCCGTGTCCCGGCTGGCAGGAGAGTATCGAGGATACTTTATTCGCGTGGAGATGCGATTACGACCGCTTTCATAAAACGCGGACGGTGAACGCTACGGACGCCGTAGAATCCTCTAAATTGAACTGTTTTCCGAAGCTTCCCGAACTTCCTCGAATTCTTCATGAACTCGAGCTCTCGATGCGAGACGCAAATAGGTGTACGCGGTACCTGATGGAGTATCAATGCTGGATCCTCCGAAGAAACCCGAGCGGTCCCTCTGCGCGTTCGTAACAGAGTTTCCTGTTTCCGCGTTTCCGCGGTGCATCGACATCGCGGTGTAACGGATCGAAGTCAGTGTCCCCGTAACTGTCGTTAACAGCGCCTACTACCGGTCCCTGTAATTCTCCGAAACTTTCTTATTTCCCAGGATGCGCGTTCCGGGTGCAAGGCACGGTGGAGCGAGAAAGAGAGCAGGGAAAGAAAGAGAGGAAGGGAGGGAGAAAGAGAGAAGGCAAGGTGGATTGATATTATATATCGTGGAGAGAGAGAAAGACGGACAAAGAGAAAGGGGAGCTATTCGCGTGCAACGAGCAGCGTCGTTAGAAAAAGCATGGCCATTCGCGGCAGCGACGAGTTTGTTGCCGCAGCGACACCGCCGCGCTCACAATTACGAATTTACTTTCTTCCACGGGACTTCCTCGTCGATGGTCACGCCGCGGATTAGACCGAGACCTATCAGCGCCGGCCTTTTTCCCTCCCACTCTCTCTCTCTCTCTCTCTCTCTCTCTCTCTCTCTGCGCGCGGTGCGCGCTTCTCTTTCTCGATAAGATATAACGGTCGGCCCGACCGGACACCGCGACGAAGGCCGAACGGAGATGTAGATTATCTTCTTTTTCCGCGGCAGTCCTTGCGTCCAGCGCGAGAAAGTCGCTCGTTTTCGAACGAGATCGAAAGGAGTCGCTCCGTCGAGGACAAGAAACCCGCGGGGAGGGGGTCCACGAAAAGCGCTTAGGGTACGGGATACTGAAAAAGGGGAAAGGAGTCGTAGAGGCGCGGCGCACGGTACGGAAGAACAAAAGAGAAATCGTGCTCGGATGTGGCAGAGGAACGAGTGCAGAACAGATCTCGATCGTTAACCTTTCAGCTACTACACGCCATTACGGCGGCGCGACTCTGTCTCTCGTCGATAGTTGTGCGTTATAGTCCGACTTAACGTCACTGCACACTGGACGATTCCGTCTCGAATGCGATGTCACGTTTATCGCGTCAAATGAAAGATAGCCCCGCGAATAGTCCTGCAGCTGAAAGGTTAAGGAAAATCCTGTCGAGGGACAACAGTCGTCTTCGACTGCGACGAAGGAAGACGGCGAAGCGTGCGCTGGTTTTTATTAAAAACTATACAAGAATGACGCGTCTACAGAGTCTTATCGGCGCGCAGCTCGGTAACTGGTGCACGCGCAGCGGTCGGTGCAGCGCGATGACGACGTCGCCGGCCATCCGCTCCCGTTCGACCGGCAGACCCGCTATTCACCGAGTCAATTGATTTTGACGATTACAGCGACGTGTTCTCCCCTCAGCAGCATTTGCGGCACGTGTCTCTCCAAGGTCTCCCTCTTCCCCTCGATCTTCGTCACGACCGCTCTGCCCGCGGATTCATCCTTCGCCGTCGCCGGGCTCGCAGGCACGCCTAATGGATTAGAAGCCGTTTAAAAACCGTTCTCAGCCGCTTTCCCGGTCGCCCCGCGATTCCGAGCTTCTCCGCTTCCTCCTCTACGATACGTTTCGTCCAGGTGTCCCCTCTCTCTCGCGGACTCGAGGCCGGCAAACGAGTTTCCGAGCGACAGCCGCCGAGAAAAGGACACTCGGGAGCTTATCCTCCAATTTCAGCCGAATCTCCGTCGAGCATAGACCTCTCCCCGAACTTCCACGCGAAACCAAAAATTCCGAAACGCGCAGGCGATCCGAGTTCCGAGGTTGACGCCGGAAATGCAGATCCGAGGCGGTCGTCGAGATTCGCGATTGTGCAGAGGGAACGGCGCAAAAAGCGAGTCTGACGTCACCGGGAGTCAGATCGCGGAGGGACGAAGGAGGAACTGTAGAGAGAGAGAGGACGGAGCGGACGGGGGGATAGAGAGAGAGGAGGAGAGAGGACGTCGACGGGTCACGAGGTAAGTCTCGAAAGGTTGTTTATGTGCCGGCACGTGTCCGGCGAGTTCTTTCGAGGGGAAGGCAGCGGAAGGGCGTAGGGCGAGAAACGCACGGCGCGCGCGAGGGGAGCAGGAGGGAAACACTGGGAAACGGGGGGACGGGGGGAGGAGCGGAAGCGCGAGGAAGTCCTCGGGACACGTGTACTCCGCAGACATCGATCCTGGAACGTTGCTCCTCAAGGTCGCTCGCTCGCCGCCCTCGCCGCCCCGTATCAACGACCTCTCGACCCCTCAGGATATCCTAAAGTACGTCAGTAGGCCAACTAACCCTGAACCCGTGTACCTTGTACCGTGATCGCCGTTCTCGGAGGGTCGAGGAACCGGCCGACAGCCGAGATACACCCTTTTACACTCTAACCTGCTACGTTCACGTTTATCTTTGCAGTTTTTAACTCTTAACCCCTTTGCACTAGAAGGTTCTCCGCTTGAAATACTCTGTACTTCCGAATTAGATTTAGACGAGATTCTTTGATATGAATTTAACAAGAGACCATACGTAAATTAGGTAACGAAGCTGTTCTTTCGATATTTCGCGTATCGATGCGGTATACTTAATGGTAAATATCGAAGTTTATAATTTTATCAGATCATCCGGCGACTGGGAGTCGCCTCTCGAGCGCAAAGGGTTAACACTTTGCCGACCGCACGTTTGTCGCGTCGCCGTTAGGTTGATGCGGGTGTGTGTGTGACGCAGGAAGGCAATAAAAGACAGTTTCGAATTAACAGAAGCATCTGCTTAAAAGATTCGAACAAAAGACGACCTGGTAAATTGAGATGAGAGAACAGTGGAAGCAATTGTTTCTCGAAAAATAGCATCGATACGTATTCCTATACAAGCGTTGGAATGATAATCACGCGTACGTGACAGCGGCCGTAAAGTGTTAACATTTAGCCAACCGAATTGGGAGATCGCCCACTTTTCACTCAGCAACATACTACCTTTTATTCTATTTACTTTTCTGTTAATTTATCGAACACGGTTCTTATTTTTACAAAACACAGTTTCTGACCGAATTCATTGAATGAGTTCTATTGAAGATAATGGAGGAGGTTGCAGATACAGTTCTTGTTAGGCGGTCGCCTAAGTGTTAACACCGGGTTCACCGGTGGGCTGATTTTCACGCGTTCCGAAGTTCACGGGGGAGACTAAGCTATTACGTTTATCTCCTGCGACTTCTATTGACTTTTATCTGTATATCCGGTAGTTTCGTTTACGAGATCGTCGGGTAATTACGTCGTCTTCGAAGTTGTTTTTTCGAGGAAGCGCGATTTCGTTCGAACTGATCAGTGCCAGTAGAGATAGGTGTACAGGAATGTCGGTGAACCTAGTAACGGAGCAATGCCGTAGCGGCGTACTCGTCGGGTTCGAGGCCTTGTACATGGCAGAACTAGTTTTATTATTTTCATCGCCGGTATTGTAGTATTTACCATTAGCGCGTTAAGTATCGCGCCAGGCCGCGAAGTTCTTTCCGCTTGTCGCCTATGTTGCGGTATTTTTTGGGGTGAGCGAACTTGGGACACTTCCGGTCCGTTAAGGGTTAACTAGCTTCATAGACGTTCGTTGCTCTAAACATTATCGTTTGGATTCTGATAGATATCGATTGGTGATGCTCGTACGCGACGTTGAAAGCAACAGCTTGCTAAAGTAACGATAAATAGAAATCTGACTATACAAAGCGACTAACCAGTTAACTGCGTTCGACGAGTATACACGTCATCGTAAAGCTTGATACTAATTCTTTCAGCGATGAATTCATTTTTTCACAAAAACGTGCAATTCTTCTTTCGCTTTGATCTTTGATTAAAATATACTCCACGCGCATTCGTCCTTCGACGAGTACGCGCTCCATTTTTCGATTTTATTGCGCGCAGAACGAGGGGTTTTTCCAATCAAATTCCACAGTGAACCGGTTGATAAACGAAATTACCGTACGCATCCGCGTAAAATAATGAAAAATTCCTCGGCGCTTTGTCAAATCTGCGAGAGCTCGACCGCAGAATACTGCAAATATTCCCAGCGTATTTCCGGAGCAGGTTCTTTTTCTATTTCCTTCCCCCCGTTGCGTCGCGCACGCCCTCGCCAGAATTAATTAATCTTCGGCGAGAACGCGGCTCCGTCCTCCCCCGCCTTTCAACGGTAAAAACTGTTGAATCATTTCGTTGATTTACGAGCCGGTCGCGCCGAAACCATCGAGATTCTTATCAGCCTCGGAGAGGACGACAGTCGAGCTACGTGGAAACGTTCCGCGATCCTCGGCCGACGATAACCTCCGCGAAGGGAATCGATTCCCGCGCGTGGCTCGTGCCCGAATTAGGAGCACGGTATCGGCTCTGCCTATCGTTATTGTCGTTATTGTTGTCCCCGTGGCTGTCGTCGTCGTCGTTGTCGTCGTCTCGGCTAGGAGATAATTGCATGTAAATGTCGCGAACAGCAAGGTATTATTCAGTAGCCGGCGGCCGTCGAATCGAGTATTCTTGGATCGGGCAAAAACGCTGATGAAGGCGAAGATTTTCCCCTGGATATTAACGGTGAACGCGCTGCTCATCGGCGATCCGTCTCTGCTCGATCTGCTACGTTATTCCAGCGTTATTTTACACTTGTAATTGAAAGATATGCGTGCTTCTATTTTCAATTTGAAATTTCCAAGAGTCTGATCGAAGAAACACGATTACTGTAGATGCGTCTTTCGAATGAACACTCGAAACAGTGTCAAAACACATTTCGGATATTCTACACATCAGATTGCAGTTGGTGCAATTGCGCTTTCAACTTTCCCGCGAAGATTCGCAGTTTAATAATGATTCGATAGCTTTCAAGTTTTCAAACGGTGTGCCACTGAATCTCACTCTGTCTATAAATATGCAGCATATCTCCCGACTACCCTCGTCCTTCCTCTAATTTCTATCGCGTAAACATTCTCCGGCGTTTCTAATATCATAGTAAAAAACGTCATACAAATTTGCGCCACAGCTCGCCATACAGAACAGTGCTGAGAACCCCACAGCTAAAAGGTGAACCGTATCGAGGAATCGACGAGAACCGTCCGACCGCCGATTCCTCGATCGGCGAAACGCGACGGGAGAAGCGGAAAGAACCGCGAGCCTGAACTCTGCGCCTCGGTCGGATCATGCGTTCCCGGGCGAAGATGCGATTGCGGTCGCACGTGTGGAGAGACCCGGCGTACCCACGTGAATGAATGGGAACGTGTGCCAGCACGGTTGCGCGCCGGGGTGGGTCGTGGACGCGCGAGCCGCGGAACGAGGAAAGAAGAAGGAAGAACGGAAGGAAGAGCCGCGCGCCGAGGCACCAGGAAAACGGGAGTAGCTGCGCGAGCAACAGAGCCGCGGGACGGCGGAGGAAGAAGGACGAGGCGGAAAGCGAGAGAGGAAAAGAGAGAGAGAGGGAGGTGCGCGTTCGAACAGGGGAACGACAGAAAGAGAGAGAAAGAGAGAGAAAGAGAGGAAAAAAGGGAAACGAACGA